TGACGGCTCTTTCGAGCGATGGGAAACGTTCCGCGATAGATTTAAAGCAATGGTAATTGACGATCCGATTTTAACAAATGTAGAACGCCTGCATTACTTATGTTCAATCGTTACCGGAACGGCCAGCACTTCGCTGAGTCACTTAGCAGTCACCGATGCGAATTTCGAAGTCGCGTGGCAAATCTTATCGTCGCGCTTTGAAAATCAACGTCGAATCGTCAACTCCCATCTTTAAATTTTATTCTCGTTACCGTCGGCAACGCATGAAACCGCGAAAGAGTTGCAGACTCTGCGTGACACCACCAATACCACCGTACAAGCGCTGAAAAATCTAAAACGTCCCGTCGATACGTGGGACGATGTTCTCGTGTTCCTCGTTTCGCAAAAACTCGACAAAGCTTCGAGAAAAGCGTGGGAATTAAAAATGAGCGAATCGCAAAATTTACCGTCCTATTCTCAACTCGACAAATTTTTAGAGTCTCGCATTCGCGCGTTCGAAGTTATCGCCCCGACGAAAAACATCGAGTCAGCCGAGACTACCTCGTCAAAAATTAAATCGGCCAAATCCGTAGCATCACATACAACGGCCGTGAAGTTCGAATGCCCGGTCTGTAAGGGCCATCATCGTTTATTTCAATGTACACAATTTGCCGCTTATACGCCGGAGCGCCGTTTCGAATTTATTAAATCGAACCGCCGTTGTTATAATTGTTTCGCGGCAAACCATGCGTTAAAGGATTGCACCAACAAGCATCGTTGTCGAGAATGTAAGCAAAAGCATCACACTCTCCTTCACCTTGGAAACCACGCAAAGTTACCGTATGCTGAATCGTCACATTCAAAAGAAGAGACGAAAAAAGACCAAGACAAAAACGTTGTCGCTCTTACCCTAACACGTTCAATGCCAGCTATTCCCGCCGTTCTGCTCGCTACAGCGCGCGTCCGCGTACATTCCGCGCACGGTCGCTTCATTCCCGCTCGCGCGCTTATCGATCCAGGATCGGCTGTGACACTCATTACGGAGAATCTTGCGCAATTACTCCGTCTTCCTCGAGTAAAGCAAAATTTAAGCGTTACTGGCGTTGGTCAAACAAAAACTTCCGCACGCTACGCAGCAAATATCAAAATTAGTCCCGTAAAAAGTAACAATCCCGCGTATTCGACGACGGCTTTAATATTGTGTTCGCTCGCGGAATACGTGCCACCTCCCGTTGCGTCTCACACTAAGTGGACGCACCTCGACGCCCTCGAATTAGCCGATCCTGATTTCCTGAGTCCTACGCCAATCGATATAATAATTGGAGCCGATATGTATGGAAATATTCATCGCGACGGTTCACACAAGGGAACACCACACGAACCGTTCGCGCAGAATACCGCGTTCGGCTGGATTCTCTCGGGTCCTACCGTCGAAACCTGCCCCCGCAATTCCGTACCCGCATATCATACTAACATTTCACCTAATCTTGAGCATACCTTAAAACAGTTCTGGGAACTCGAAGATATCCCAGCCCGCGTTCATCCGAGTCCGGAAGACACCCAATGTGAGGAGCATTTTGTGACGACTCACTACCGCACCATGGAAGGACGCTACGTCGTGCGTCTTCCCTTTAGAAATGGCCCGCCTCGCGACCTTGGAGACTCTCGATTCGCCGCGTTGAAGAGTCTCGAACGGCTCGAACGTCGTTTTCGAACCGACCCATCGTTAGCAACGGAATACACCGCATTCCTTACCGAGTACGCAAACCTAGGTCATATGACTAAGATAAATCCTACCGAATTTCCCGCCCAAGCTCCCGCGTACTACATTCCACACCGTGCCGTGATCCGTGAACATAGCAATACAACCCGACTTCGTGTTGTGTTTAACGCGTCGTGCAACACCGCCACCGGCAAATCATTAAATAGCGCTCTTCATGTAGGAGCAAAATTGCAAACCGATCTAGTAGCGGTCGTCCTCCAATGGCGACAACCTCGATTTGCACTATCAGCGGACATCGCCAAAATGTATAGGCAGATTTTAGTACACCCTCTCGATACGAAGTATCAATGCCTCTTATGGCGATCGTCTCCGACGGCTCAGGTCGACGAATACCGACTTCTTACCGTCACTTACGGCACCGCCGCTGCCCCATTCTTGGCCTTGCGAGTCTTACGGCAATTAGCCGAGGACGAAGGCTCACAGTTTCCGCTCGCGGTACCGGTTCTATTACAGCAAACGTACGTCGACGACTGTACTTTCGGCGCCGACGACCTTGAAACTGCCAAACAAACACGAGATCAGTTAATTTCGTTGCTATCTCAAGGCTGTTTTCGTTTGCGTAAGTGGGCGAGCAATTGCCCTACGCTCCTTGAAGATCTCGATCCTTCCGACCATGGACTCGCAACCAACAAAGATTTGCACGATCACGATTCCATTAAAATTCTCGGAGTTACCTGGAAACCGGAACACGATATCTTCACCTTTCAAGTTTCGAATTTAATAACAGTCGCGAAAACTAAGCGCGGAATATTATCAGTCATCGCGCAACTCTTCGACCCACTCGGGTGGGTAGCTCCCGTTATCGTAACCGCGAAAATTTTCCTGCAGCATCTCTGGTTGACGAAGTCTGATTGGGATGACGAGCTTCCCGCCGAGATGTTGCGCGAATGGGAAACATTTCAATTGACGTTGCCTCTCCTTGAGCAGTTAACTATTCCGCGCTGGACGCAGTATCATCCGAACAACAGAATTGAATTACACGGATTCGCAGACGCCTCCACGCGAGCGTATGCGGCAGCGCTTTACCTCCGTGTCATTTCGGGCGACGGTTGCATTACCAATACTCTGATCCTCGCTAAGTCTAAAGTCGCGCCGCTCAAAACCATTAGCGTCCCGCGTTTGGAGCTTTGCGCTGCGCTCCTACTAGCACAACTCATAGATTTTGCTCGTTCTGCTCTTCATCTTCCCGATATCGATTATTGGTGTTGGAGCGATTCCATGGTCGTCCTCGCTTGGATACGTCAAAGTCCCTCGCGGTGGAAGACGTTTGTCGCGAATAGAGTCTCAAAAATGCAACAGCTTCTTCCCGTGCGAAAATTTAATCAGAATCGAACTTACAACGGCCCAGGTTGCGCATCTCGCTTTCGTCATTTGTGCGGTCGCCACTTTGTTTTAACCTTATAAACAACAAGGTTACTTACGGTTGTTGATTCCACATGGCAATGTTGACACGCGTTTCCTCAAGTGGATCGTTAACCGCTGGGTTTATTAGTTTCCTCTTTTTGTTCTAGGTCATCGTGGGATGCTGGATTCCTCCTTCTCATTGCCACAGACGTTTGAGGATTCGCTGGATGTTTCGCCGTCGGATGGATGATAACCGGTCCGATGAATCGACACGTTATGTTCCGGTCAATATAATGTATATTTTTTTCTTTCAGGTTCCACACAGATTCTATAAATACTGTACAAAGCGATATTTTACTAGTCCGCGCTTTTTACGATGGAACAGAGTAAATTGAACAGAACTCTCAATCTCTCCACCTCTCAATCTCTGAACCACGAGGCCTTGCCGCGCCGGCTTATATTTGCCGCAACGTCACCCCTCTCCTGACCCGCTGGCCAATCACGTTCTTTTGCCCCGCCAAGGGTCCGCTGACTACTCAGCGCGTTGCGCGCGCGCGCATGCTCTATACTTGGCTCATCCTTAGTTCTATGTTTATATTATATTTATACTATGTACATTTTATTTGCTTATTTGGCAAAAAATAAAATGAACGTCATAATGCTAACCAATTGACGCATTGGTTTTATCACATAATAAAATAAATAACCTTGAACCTAGCTGGTCTATTAACATGAATGAAAACTAAATTTTATCTTATCTCGCGCTTTATAATTTAACATTAACTCAAAATGCGTGGAGTAATTGTAAATATGCAAAAAATAAAATAAAATTTACATTAGGCGACTTAAAATTAATTTTTATCAAACTTAAAAATAAAATAAAAAAATTCATACTGCTTTCGTCCGCTACTGGGATGTCACGTCCTTTAACCAAGGCAGCTCTTCCGGACTGCGCCCAGCTGTGGTTGGTCGCAAGCTTCTTCCCAATGGAAAATGGAATCACGTGCCCACGCACGACAACCCCGCAGATTGCGCATCTCGCGGTACCGACCCTGCCTCTCTTATTAATCACCAACTTTGGTGGCACGGCCCACCATGGTTATCACATTCGTCCGATCAATGGCCAGTCATATCCGACATCCCGGCAACGCATAGTGAATTACGCGATTCAAAAACTTGTGCGACATGTTCGGTAAACCATTGGGAGCTTGAATCCCGATTTTCCTCGTGGCCGAAATTACTGCGCGTCACCGCGTATATCCTTCGTTTCGTTCGCAACGCTCGTACCCAGACGAAAACACAATGCGATGCCTCTCACTCGCACCCGCATGCTCTCCGGTCCGATGAGCTGGTCGCCGCTCGTAATTTTTGGATTCGACGGATTCAACTCAATCTATTTGCTGACGACATAGCTCGCCTAAAACAATTACGTTGCGTCTCAAAAACTAGTCCATTAGCTTCGCTTTCTCCTTACATAGACAGAGACAGCTTGTTACGCGTTCGAGGCCGATTAAAGCACGCAAGCCTGTCAGATGACGCTAAACATCCGCTAATTTTAAAATCACATCCATTGGTCCACCTCCTTATCAAACAGATTCATGTTGCGGCCCTACACGCCGGTCCGCAACTCACACTCACGCTCCTGCGACAACAGTATTGGCTAATTCGCGCTCGCGCCACTGTGCGTACCGTCCTCTACCAATGTATTGTGTGCACACGGGAGAATGCACGCGTGCCCGAACAGCTTATGGGCGACCTGCCGGATTTCCGCGTGAACCCGACTTCACGCGCCTTTAATCATACCGGCGTCGATTACGCGGGTCCGTTACTAGTGCGTACGACTAAAGGTCGTGGTCATAAAGCCCAAAAAGCTTACCTCGCAATTTTTGTATGCATGACCACGAAAGCACTGCACCTAGACGCAGTATCGGATTATACTACCGCGTCGTTCCTTGCCGCGTATCATCGTTTTACCGCACGTCGTGGCATTCCGCATGCAATGTACTCCGATCACGGTACCACATTTCAAGGTGCCGATCAAGAGCTTACGGCCTCCTTCCATGCAGCCACGCGTGATCCAGCATTTCAAAATTACATAGCTCAAGAAAATACTGCATGGCATTTCATACCTCCCGCTGCGCCGCATTTCGGAGGCCTATGGGAGGCTGCCGTACGCTCTGTGAAACATCACATTAAACGCGCTATTGGAACGCACACCTTAACGTTCGAAGAGATAACCACATTACTATGCCGTATCGAACTTTTCTTAAATTCTCGTCCCATCGCTTCCGTGTCCGACGCTTTAGACGATTATACCGCTCTGACTCCGGGTCATTTTTTGATCGGCGCATCCTTAAGCTCGATCCCGGAGCCGAGCTTACTCGAACTCGCCGAAAATCGTTTATCTCGCTGGCAACTAGTGTAGCAATTAAGCGAACGCGTCTGGAAGGCATGGAAAGATACGTATTTGAATACCTTACAACAACGCCCTAAATGGCGTTCTGTACAAACTCTAGCCACACCCGGTAGATTAGTCTTACTTCGCGATCCACTTGCCCCTCCAAGTCGATGGAAGCTTGGGCGTATAGTTAAATGCCATCCAGGCAGCGATCGGCTCGTTCGAGTCGTTACTGTTAAAACGGCTGAATCCGAGTTCAAGCGCCCCATTACAAAACTTTGTTTTCTTCCGGTCGACATCAACAATGATAGCGAACATCATTCCGCCATGGCGGGCGGCATTGGATTGTAACTGTCCGATTGAATATTGTAAATTTACGTTAAATTTCATTGACCGCAAATATTGTATTCATATCGAATGTCAATCACATTCGAGGCAAACGGTATGTTGACGCATATCATAAATTTGTATAATCAATAGACTCTTATATTAATCGCTCGTATATCAACGGAAAGGTTCGATCGTTCGAACCGACACACGACAACATTATCGACCTTGTTCACCATCCCATGTGATAAGAGTCACGCTGTCACGTGTACATTTTATTTACTCCTATTCTTTCGTCGCTCCGATTCGCCGAAACAAACATCCGATCCCGAGAAAGAGGGGATTCCGTGACGAAAACTCGGAACGCTCCCGAAAACCGAGAATCAGATCTCTGCGAACCGTGCTATCGATCAGCTGCAAATACAAGTAAACATATGTTCGTTGCTGTAATCACTTTCCTCTCGGAGCGAGCCTTCACGAGGCTGTACAAGCCACCAGTCGATCAACAATAATTTGAATTAGAGCGACGCCGTCGCGCCTACTGATATCGACAACAGAAACTATAGATAATTACCAGTTCATATCTACAAAATATCTACAATTTTAACCGAATTGAATAAGAAATATAAAAATATTTGATTAAAATACAGTAATTAATTATGAATGTAATAAGTTCATACTTCCACAAAATATTGGCAAATCTTCAGCCAAACTGGAATTTGCAAATACTCTTGCATCGTGCACTGAACCAGGATAGCCAATTAATACATCTAAAAACTTTTTCTGTTCATTAACGGTCCTTTGCATGTGTACAGAAAAATAATGCTTTCTATTGATATAAGCCACTGGGTCTTCAGAAGGTTTGTCAATACGGATATGTGAGCCGTCAATACATCCTATAACAGAAAAGAAATACATTAAATGAATTAATATAATTAGATTACACATACTGAATTACAAAACTGTGATAAATTAAATATATCATCGAAGAAAATCACATTATTACCAATTACTCCTGGAAAACCTTTACTTTCAAGATAGTATCTTTGCGTTCTTTGTCTCTCTACTTCAGTAGGATACCGAATAACTTCATTCCTCATATCATACAAAAACTGTGTAACCCTCCGTAAGACAGATTCAAGAGTACTAACAATCGATTGTAAGAGAGAGATCGAATCTGTCAGCAACATCTCTGAAACTAGCACTTTGATGGCCAGCAAACCATAAAAAAGTGAGAATATGTTTTTCAGCTGAAACTACCTTGAATCCTCCATTTCCTATATAAATATTAATCAAACTTTATTCAAAATAAAGTCCAAAATTTTTAGTATACATATCTAATTTTAAAAAATCAATACTTACCTCCTAAATTTCTAAAATATGGCCAATGATTAAATTTCTCTACTATACTCATAAAAAGCGTTCTTTTCAAACGAAAATGCATAACAAATTCTCTATCTGTATACATAGGCACTGTATTTTTAATGTAATTGGTTATGCATGTCCTATGTATTCTTTGAACGAAACCTTCTGCAATTTCAACGATTGCGTTAATGGCAATATCTGCAAATACAAATTATATAAAATTCAATAAAAATGCACAAACTACTTAAGGAAAGATGAATTTAAAATTACAAGATTTTTAGAGATTACACCAAAATTAGAAACGTCACATCTTTATCATTAATACTCACTTTCTATTTCATCGTCGTTCCCATTGTCTTCTAACAATTCACCAATTCCTGCCAAAGGTACAGGATTTTCTGCAAAAACGTCATCATTAATATTATTTATTATTATAATGCGAAAACCGTCAAAAAAACCTAGGCGATCCATGCTGTCAAAACCTAACCTAATCGGTCAATGATGTACGATGTGCGATTGAAAGGGAAGGGAGTGCTCAAATCCGTTCATGTCACTGAGCGTTGGTGCACATAAACCCATCTGATCCAACCGCCATCTTATCTGTGATCCAAGTGCTCTCTGGTGTACATTGGAGCATGTGACGCAAACAAACCTCGAGAGTCATTGAGGAACGCAAGCCGCCTCACCTCGTCAAGGTGACGCATCACGAGGCAGTATAAGTAGATAGGGACAGTGGGAATCTCGTTAATCCATTCATGCGCGTCACTAATTAGATGACGAGGCATTTGGCTATTTAATACATTTATTTTCCATGATACATATATATAATTGATTACATTACATACAAACAAGGTAAACATGTAATCTATTGCATGGATACAATAATAACAAATTAAGATCTTGGTGGTCCCCATCCAGACATCCTCAGGTTGGCACGCCCTCGAGTGACAGATGTTGTTTGATTGAACCGTGCAAAGTTCATATAGGATCCTTTAATGACCCTGGTTGTGATTCCCCTTATGACTGCCTTTGAGATACCAAGCGCCTCCAGTGTATTAGCCGATTCCGTAGCCCACACCCCTCGCCAAGAGAGTGTTATTGTAGAGACCTCCATTTTCCGGGGTGGAACCTGTAACAAACTAGAGGCCTGCTCAAGGAGCTCCGCGTTCCCCGCGTAGTAGACCTTCTTCTTCCTGTGTCCCTCAGCGAGCAACCGAGCGCCCGAGATTATTTGGACGTCCAATATGCGGCCCTCTTCTCCCTTGGATGCTACTATGTCCGGCTTTCTAGCTCCAACCCGTGTGCGGAAAACGTGCTCCCGATGGACTGTAAAACCGCCCCGCTGCAACTCAGATGCCAGGACTGACGCCACCGCATCATGGCGCATAACTCTGCCTCCATGTGTCCTGAAACATTGTTGGATTACATGAGCCGCCGTCTCCCGGACTCCACAGCCACCCCGACAGTTGACGTCCTCCTCATCACGCTTGGATCCTCGTGTGGTCCTCACTCTTGTAGGGAGCGCATTTACCCATATTTTAATATAATTGAGCCAGTCTGAAGATGGTATGTGAACCATAAAGTCATCGAGCCAACGAGTAGACGCTAAAACATTGCCCGCTTCCCGAAGCTCATATCCGTCCACCTTTGCATACAACTCCGTTGGCCACCCCTCTTCCTGTTTTCTGGCCAACATACACCAACGCCTCTTCTTATTACCCCAGTCACTACCTCCAGCGATACGGGCTTCCTCGTATGATGATTGTACAAGTCGCTCCAACCTCGCCAACAAATTAAAAATAATAACAACGACGAACTCCTACCGTGGAGGTGCATACCAATAACTTTCCGACCACGACGCCTGTCGCCGCCAAACATCCCAGTGAACGACCCTCGCCGCACGCACTACCTCCAAGTACGAGCCGACACGATCAAGAAAGTGCTACTAAAGGTAAGTGAAATTCACGTTAACCTAAGGAATCGCGCGTGTTAGCAAATTCAGAGACGCTTCTACCACGTGGAAGAGAACATTCTAGAAAAATCTCCGACGCATTTTTCCTCTTTTCCATCGTCACTGCGGAAGCTATAAAAAAAAGGGTCGGGCTATAAAACTAGGGTCGACCACCACACGCGGTGCAACCCTCGGAATTCTAACACGGAAAAACGCAAATAGTTCAATCTCTTAAAAATCTTTGTGTCTCAAGAAATAACTTCGTAAATCCGTACAACAAAGTAGTCATTTAAACAATAATCAATTGAGAACACTCGATTTACCGACGTTACCGACAATATACCGACATACGTTCTTTTACCGACGTTACCGACAATATACCGACATACGTTCTTTTATCGACATTACCGACGATATACCGACATACGTTCTTTTACCGACGTTACGGACAATATACCGACATACGTTCTTTTACCGACATTACCGACGATATACCGACATACGTTCTTATACCGACATTACCAACAATATACCGACGTACGTTCTTTTACCAACTGGTTATCGACACCTTACTGGCACCTTACCAGTGTTTTACTGAGCAATTACCGACGGTTTTACCGACGACTACTGACTTCTCGATTACTGCCGGGTTCACCGAAGATCTACGAGCGAATGGCGCATTATCAATTCGATTACGCAACAAGCACAAATGTGCCCACTCACCCTTAGAGGTATAACCCCTCCTCCAGAAGTTAATCTCTTTGTACCGTTTGAACCCTTATTCTATTGCCAAATTGGTATCGGGTACATCCACTTCGAGACTAAGGCAGCCCTCTGCATTTCATGCTACTCCACCTTACCTAGAGTCTCGAAACTACTTTGGACAAAGATTCGGAAGCATACTTTAATCATAGGCGGAACACCCACTGGAATAAATTGCGGGGTCTGCAACTTCCGACTTACCCTCACGCGAATTGGTGATTTGTGCGAGCTTTGCCAGTCTACGTACGAAGATTACTTACGCAACCCCAACGACGTTTCGCATAGAGCAATCGACGAAGCTATCTTTATTACAGTAGAGTCACAGGTAGGTCCCACGCAATAATCCGATCACCTCAGTTCCAGCGCGAATAACCTCAGATCGCGGGTATCCCCGGGGAGAATCGCATAGATTCGCGTACCCGTAATAGCGATCGTGTCTCGTGGAAAAAGCCGAGCTCTGCATTCAAATTTTCGCAGCCGCGACCCCACGAGACGTAACAAAATTTGGTGACAGCGGTGGGATATAAGTTAATATTTGCGATGGAAACACGAGGGAAGTCAGGTACGAAAAAGTTCACTGAAGTAGAAATAGACGAACTTCGCGCTCAATTGCATGCCAAGGAAGCACGGTTACGCGAACAATCCGAGATGCTTCAACAGCAGAAAGAAACGTTCGAACGCGAAAAACGGGCTTCGGAAGAAGACCTCGAAATCATCCGCAGTAACCTCGTGAGTAAGGAAACGGAAGTGGAAAAACGTTTGAACTCCATCACAATGGTAGCAACCGAAAAACCCGACTTAAGCGATCATATGCTCCAAGAAATCGAACGATTACGCCAGGAGATAAACTCCATGCGCGGGAACAATACGATACCTACGCAATATATTCCCAGCACCGCGGGACGCTTTTTCGACGAACAGGCGTCTCCCGCATTCCAACACGGAACCAATTATGATAGTCCAAGGGTGTCTTTCAGAGAAGCACTTGAGACTATCCCGCCATTCGACGGTCGAAATATCCCCCTCTCTCAATTCATACGAGCATGTAGACGCGCTAAAGAAATATTCCCACCATCGTCCGAGCAAAACCTAACCCGCCTACTTCTTACTAAGTTACGCGGGCGAGCTATATGCGCCGTAGAAGACGAAGAGTGCGAAACGATAACTCAACTTGCCGACCTCCTGAATGGAGCCTTCGGATCCCCGAAAACCATCGATCAGTATCGCGGGGAGCTGAGCACAATTTATCTTAAACCAAACGAGCATATCCTTGATTTCATAAGCCGCGTAAAAGACTTGCGATCTTCTATAACGGACGCGGAACGCCGAGCGCAAGGAATGCTATCCGTCGGATCAGTAAACGAAATCGACGCCTTAACAGCACGATCTTTCTGCGAGGGCTTGCCACTCGCCTATAGGATACAATTGAGACAAGAACACTATCGCGACCCGTTTCTAGCTTTTTCACACGTCAAAATTCTCGCGAAAAGATCGGAACTAGACAACGAAAGATTCGAAACTCCGCGCCGTTCATACGAACGTAATGTATACTTGAACGAAAGGTCTTTAGCCCACTCGACGCCCATAAAAATAAACACGGAACGATCTTCTAACAACAGATGGACTCGAGCCGAGTACTCGCCGCGCGTCGAACAAGCACGGTACAGTAACGCGCCGTTTCCAAAAGCCTATAATAGTACACAGTCACAGAGACCGACAAACACTTACAGAACGGAAGACGCCAACCGAGGGGGTCCCGAGAACAATAGACACGAACGAACCAGTAACAACAAATACTGTAGGTACTGTAAAAATCCGGGACACGAAATAGAGGAGTGCCGGAAAAGACAATACAATAACTCACGTCAGGGAAACTCCCCTCACCCCTCGAGGCCCAAGGACGAGGCTCGAGCGGGAACGTCTCGGGAAACAGATCGTCCAATACGACTAATAAACGCGGAGCAAGCCCTGGAGAAACCAGAATCGCCATGCTAACTCCGAACGATTTTTCGCACGCGCCCACCGTTTCCATTGCCGCGGACGGTTTAGCACGCAACACAAATTTCATGATAGATACTGGTGCGGCACCCAACTTGGTTAAACAAGGCCAACTAAGCCCCGATTGCGTTATCGATAAAAGCATAACTATTTTCTTTAGCGGAATTACAAGCGATAAAATCGAAACGCTCGGAGCGACAAGTATAAAATACCTCGGTCACAGGATCGACCTTCACTTAGTCCCAGACGACTTTCCAATTTCCCAAGGCGGAATCCTAGGATTCAAATTCTTACGCGACGCGTCTAAGATAGATTATTCCAAGCGCTGCATCGTGTGGCAGCAAACGCAAATCCCTTTTAACGATGCTCAGACGGTAAAAATCCCGGCTAGATCGCGGGCCACCGTTTCGCTCCAAGTCAGCAATCCCGAGGTCAGCATAGGATATATTCCGCGAATTCATGTGAACGAAGACATCTACTTAGGAGATGCCATCGTCACTAATCGTAACGGCACAGTATATATGAAAGCCGTTAACATAAGCGACAAGGACCACGAATTGTACTTACCTAGAGTAAGATTACAAGAGATCGAGAAAATTTCTAAATCTTGTCCACAGAACCTCGAGGATCCTTCATCCTATCTCAAGGGTCATAAAAGCACCCTCCTTAACCTAAAATTCCAACGCACGGGTCACATAAACACTGAGGACGGTCCCTTAACCCTAGGGCATCTGGGGACCAATCTCATAAAACATAACAACAAAACCTCAACACGTCGCAGCGTTGACCCGACAAAATACACAATCTCGTCCCGAAGAAATAAAAACACTGCTGC